GTTCGATGGTATTTTGTGCTCCCTACTATTTCGAATACAACCTTTCGCGATCTTCTTCCTTCTCCCCTTCCCCTTTCCCCTTCTCCTCCTCTTTCTCATCATCGTAATCATGCACGTGCACGTATCCAAGATCTTTAACAATGAATCGATAATTATTAACCTTCCTCCCCTCTTGTGTTTCGTTTTCGCGCCCTCCTTTCGATAATTTAAACTAAACACTTCTCGTAAATAAACGCACGATACAATTAATGACCGTACGTTTCGCAATTAATAAAGAAACCGAATCGATAGTAGACGCGCCCTCTTCCTTTCTTTCCTACTCCCCCCTACCCATTTTACACCTCCTCCCCTATATTTACACCTTACGCGACAATGCGACGATATTTCTCGATACCATTTTCCCTTGAAAACACGCGCACACGTATGTAATACACGTGTGCGTGTGTGCGTACGTGTCACATGAGAACATGTATTTCTGTGATTGTGAGTATACATATTGTATTGTATGTCCGTTGCGTATGAATATGTCTGTATATATCCTTCTTCATACAATTTCTCTCTCTCTCTCTCTCTCTCTCTCTCTCTCTCTCTCTCTCTCTTTCACACGCGCAATCGTACTGTCGTCAGAGAGTCATCATCATCATCATTATCTTTCGCGCACGCACATTTTCTCGCATGCCTTTCACTTGTTCGATTTTGTTTATCGTTTATCGTTCTTTTTTTTTTTTTTTTCCCGCGAAATATTAACACATTCGAGATTGGAAGAGGCGGCAAATCTTCGGCTCGAATCGAAAAAGAAAATTATAAAAGAAATGTAATATTGAGGTATATCGACAAAGACACTCGTATCATAGAACAAGCGTGTACAAAAGGAAAGGATACGTAAAAAATTCTTTTTTTATCCATCATTTTAGAATATCGTCTCGAATGTGTTAAATGCTTGTGAGATTCTCTCTTCCTCTCGAGGGGGCTCGAAACGCATTCGAATACTATTCTTCTTAATCAAAATATCCTGTATCCTTCGAGATACGTCGAAATATATTAGATTCTTATTAAATGTTCTTTGATTATTTTTTTAAAATTATAAAGATATAGCCATATGCTTCATAGGGAGTTAGAATCGGGTCTGATTTATTTATTTATTTATTTTCTTTCCTAACGAGGACGGCACAAAGAAAATGATAGAACTTCGATTTTCACGAACTACGTGCCTTGAAACATATCGAGATATTTCGATCAAGAAGAACAGTTGATTATGTTTCGCGATCAGGAGCAGGTCGGAAGTCGTTCCCTTCATTTTCTTAAAAGTTTTTCACGAACAACGAAACAGACGTATTTTTTTTTCTTTTTTTTTTTGTTAAAGAGTATCTAACTAACAGATCCATGTGTTTTACGTGTTTTCCTTTCCCCCGTTTAACTGCAAAATAATACTGAAGTCTGCACATGGTGCCTATCACATATGTCTATTACGCAGTCTCTTTTAATTCACAGTCATTCCAAGTAACTCATACGCACGATCACATCCTGCACAAGCATACATTTTTTTTTCTGCATTTTTCTTTTCTTTTTTCTTCTTGTTACATACAATTACAACTCGCGATCCACAGAGAGATATCGGATCAAACCATAAATAACATCGTTTTTAAAGTATATTTCCCATTTTTCGAGCATACTTCTAATCCCCTTTCCAAAAGGATTAGATATTAACTCTAATTTCTTATTTAAAAACTTTTGGATCAGAGAAATGTATATTTGTTACAATTGCAAAAAAATTCTTTTGAAATTCATTATCTAATACTTTATCATTGTACTTATCATTAATGCTTGTAATCTCATTTTTAAAAACTTTTTTAAAAGGATTAGATATTAATTCTAGTTTTTTCAATTTGTGCGATCTCTATTTTCTTTTTTTTTTTTTAAGATTTCGCAATTTAAAAATTCTAGATCAGAAAAATGTATATTTGTTACAATTGGAAAAAAATTCTTTTGAAATCCTTTATTATATTAATGCTTATATGTAATCTCTTTTTTAAAAAGATTAGATATTAATTTTAATTTTTTTAACTTGTGCGATCTCCATTTTCTTTTTTTTTTTGCAATTTAAAAATTATTGGATCAGAGAAACATATATTTGTTACAATTGCAAAAAAATTCTTTTGAAATTCATTATCTAATCCATTCTTTATCATATTAATGTTTGTAATCTTTTTTTTAAAAGAATTAGATATTAATTCTAATTTTTTCAACTTGTGCGATCTTCATTTTCTTTTTTAAGATTTCACAATTTAAAAATTCTAGATCAAAAAAATATATATTTGTTACAATTGGAAAAGAATTCTTTTGAAATTCATTATATTAATCTATTCTTTATCACATTAATCTCTTTTTTAGGGATTAGGATTATTAATTCTAATTTTTTCAACTTGTGCAATTTCCATTTCTTTCTTTTTTTTTTTTTTTTTTTAAGATTTCGCAATTTAAAAACTCTTAAATCAGAGAAACGTATATTTGTTACAATTGCAAAAAAATTTTTTTAAAATTCAAAATTTTTTTCTAATCCATTTTTTATATCTTCTATTGATTAAATTACAATTACGATGATTTTTTTAATGTAAAATTAAAGATTCGTCCCAATTAAAATTGATCTTTCGAAACGATATTATTTATGGGATGATCCAACCTTTATTGCTCTGTGCAACTGTCTCGCCTCGTTTTCGCACGCATTCCCTAGATTTCTCGCTAGCATTTCATTAGCTTACTCTCGCTCTTCTTCTCGTCAACAGAGTGGATAAAAAATTGTTAAAACCATTTTCGACATGGTCATGCCGCCTCGAACGTCTTCATTTTTCTGCGAGATACGAAAAAAAATAACGTAACGGTACGCATCTACGCGTAGACCTCTGTAAATGTAGAAATGTTAACAATATTTGTCGTTTGGTCATGGTAGCTTGCCACCGTTATTTATTATTAATTAAAAAACAAGAAAAAAAAATAAATTAAAAAAAGATTGCTAGAGCTAATTTTAAAAAAAAATTTTTTAAATTATTTCTATTATCAATTGTCGAGTAAATTATTATGTCAAACGAATAAAATAAATGAAACGAATATATATATAGTATATACATAATCGTAATATATATAATCTGTACAATATGCAATGAGACGTGCGGTATAACCCGTCGAAGCAGTTATAAACTCTTTTAAAACACCCTGTATATATATAATATATATATAATATTAATAATCAATAATAATATCAGTTTGTATTGTACAGGCTATTTTGAGGGCTGAAAGCCTGTGGTCTCTAATATTTTACTTAACCTCCTTGAACCCATACGCTTTCTCCCATCATTATATTCTACTTAAGTTATTCTTTAATAATATATTTTAATCTCGCTTTTTTTTCTTTTCTTCTTTTTCGCTAAGTGTAGCAAGGTATTATGTGACATAACCATCTTATTATTTAATTTAACCATCTTTCGCTTTTTTTTTTGTTTCCTATCGTTTCATCACTCATTCTCATTTTTTTTCATTTTCTTAAGATTCATTAATGAAATAATCATTGTAAATGTATTATAGTTTTACGTTAACTTTTTTTTTTTCATCATTACCATTACTTTTACAGTTTAATATGTTAGCTTTTTTTTTTCTCTCTTTATCTATCGTAGATTTGTCTGTGGCTATCCCTGATGTGTTAGTTACCCTGCGCTTCCGTCTGGTTGTCGAAATATTGTTTCTTTTGCGAAATTGTGGTCTACGATTAAAATTTCATCATTTGTCCCCGTGTTTTAAATACGAATTTTGTTCCTCTTATTTTTCTTTTTCTTTTTTTTTTTTTTTTCCTCTTCACGTACTCGTGTTCTCGTTTCTTTCTGTTTTCTTTTGTTTTGTTTTCTTTTTTTGCTCTTCCTCCCACTCCCATTCGTCCCTCCTCCTCCCACTTTTTTTTCACACTCACTCATCGAACAAAGTTTCGAGGAGCTCGCCAAGATTTTACCGATCAAAGATACACAACTACGAGGTTCACAGTCTTTGTCATCGATCGATTTTTTTTCTCGAAATTTCAAAAATCGGCCGATTGTTCGCGCGTTTATATCGAGTTTTAAAAAAAGTATTACATCACGTTAAAATACGATTGCAATTGGAAAAAATTAACAGCGATCGAGGAAACAATTATAAATGTATCTATATGTATATATAGATATATGTATATATGTGAACATATGTACATATGTATATATATATACATATATACATACATATATATATACATTCATGCTTGATATTGTACCGAAAACCGGAAACGAGTCGTGTAACCAGGTCAACTGGTAGCCATGCTTCCATAACGAGAGAGGAAGAAACAGAGAATCTTGGCAAGCTCGCGCGACACTGCGTGTGTGTGGTTATTGTGCAAACACCCCTGTATATATATCCCACCCCATTCTCCTTCCGATCGTAATCTAATTCCATATGAAATTGACATAATTTGTCCGTTTATTGCAGGTCTATTACTCTCTCGTCGCTTCGGGGATCATTATCAGGGATGAAAAGTAAAAACGAAAATTTCGAAAAACGACGACATTTCGTACGATGTCTCGTATACGAAACTGAACAGCATCCAGTTTAGTTAGGATTAATGATAAGTATCTTGGAAATAATTCTTCGAATGGGAATGGAAGCTCGTCTGAACGCACTCCAACAAGGGGGGCAGCAGCAGCAAGAAAGATACGAAGGTACTACTACATTGCTTGGTCAATCTCTCTCTCTCTCTCTCTCTCTCTCTCTTTCTGTTTCTCTCTTTCTCTTTCTGGTTGATTGAAACAACGATATTAATGGAATAAACCCGGTTGTTAAGAATATAATGGTTGTCGACATATAATAAATAGATATATATGTATATATATATATATATATATATATATATATATATATATATAGCTATCGTATCGCAAAAATAGAAATCGGCGAGAAGTTGGAAAAAAAAAAAAGAAAAAAAAAAAGAAAAAACAAGTTGGTTTGCGTCGGATTGGTTCGATTTATCGAATATGATTGTCAAACGAGTAACGATCGTTCAACGCTTCCGCGGGGGCAAAGTCGGGGAAGAAACCGTGCGGCAAGTTGCTCGTGAGCAACGAGTGATGGGGGAATCCAGCGTCGTCGCCCGGATGGGGCGGCAGGCCAGCAAGGGGGTGGATGATTTGCGCGGGCGGCTGGACGGCCTTGTCGTTGTTGTTAAGCGAATTCATAACTACCTCGCCCGTAGTCGCCCCCGTACAGTCCCTTCTCAGCTGTTCGAGTTTCAAACTCTTCCCATATTTCCCCCGCACGTACATTAACAAGCTGTTGTACGGGATGCCGAATATCCTGCTTGCCTGCGACGTGGTCATCTTCTTATTCCAAACGTGCTGCAACGCCTCGGTCAGCTCCGCGTTCGTCCAAGACCTGGGCGGGCCGCCCCTAGGTGCGCTGTGCTGTCCTTTCGGCCTTCCGACGGGGAGGCCCCTGCTACTGTGGTCGCCCCACCTGTGCGGCGTGTCACCGTCGCCCCTGTGCTTCTTTGGCTTTTTACCCGGGTGGTGAGTCCCGAGGCTGGCCGCGCCGAAAAGTCCGTGCAGCGCTTCCGGTTTAAAACTATCGTGGAGATCCGCCAAAAGGGATCCCCTGTCTAGGGCACCTACATGAGGGAACAGTCCACCACCTAGAGACACGACACCGTCCAACGGGAATATGGGCGTCACGGAGCTTTGTTGCGGTGTGAGTGGAGATTCTTGTTGCTGCTGTTGTTGTTGCTGGTGCTGTTGCTGCTGATACGGATGCGTTGTCCTGCCGGTGGGCGAGCTTCCCTCCCGCTGCGGACGATGACCCTGAGACTGTTGTTGCTGCTGTTGCTGCTGCTGCGATTGCTGATGATTGTTGTTAGACCCGGTCAGATCCAGTCCGCTCGCAGGCGGGCTCAGACTCGGCGGTGGATGGGGTCGGCTCAGATCTTGAGGGACGAGCTCGACCGATCTCCTCCGCGGCCGTGCTTGCTTCCGCCGCGGCAAAAGCGGGGATCCGCAACTTTCACGCAACTCGCGTATCCCAAAGTTCAAGTGGCCCATATGCGGCAACATATCACGGTGGTCCCTCGCAGGGTGGAAAATGGTGGGTGTCGTGACGGGAGGTGGTTGTTCCCGGGTGGACGGGGGCGCGGTGCTCTCGGACGCGTTGTCATCCTCCTCGGGCGTACCTTGCCTGGCCCCCTCGGGCGTCGAGGGCTCGCCCAGGAGGAGGTCCGCGGTCGGTGTTTCCGGTGGTGACGTAGGTCTCGGTTCCGACAACACTAGTCCACGCACCTGCAGGCTCTCCGCGGCCCTCATCAGGCCGGGAAGCTCCTCGCGGCCAACCCTCACCTCGCCACGGTACATAAAGTCGATCAGCGCCGCTACCTCGTGGCCAGGGAAGTCCTTTAGCACGATCACCGGATGTTTGCAGGGATGCTCCGCAAATATCCTCTCGAAGAACGGGCTGCAATTCAAACGGTTTTCGCTTTTATCGAGTATCGAGTTGTTTTATTTGGTTTTTCTTTTTTTTTTTTTTTCGTTGAAATTATTTTAAAAATATGTCAAAAAACTTCCTCGCTACGGGAGTTTTTTGATAATAAAGAATGTTTAATAATAATAAAAAGAAAAATTGGAAGCGTATTTTGTTTTTATTTAGAAATGTTTTATTAGCGCCTCTAGAGAAGTTTAAAGTCAATCTGTGTAAAGTTGAACGTACGATTAGAAAAGGAATTGAAGAAGTTTCGAACTTTTGATATTTAATTATTCTATTAATTCTATGTAATGTATTCTATGTAATTGTATGTTATTAAAATAAATAGCAAGTGAAATGAAAATATCATTCTTGGAAGTTATTAACGTATTTATAATGAAAAAAAAAGGGGGAGAAACGATCTTCGATTTTGATTTTATTGTCGAATTTACAGATATTTTTCATAATATTAATATCGTGCAATGTAACTAAATTAATATTTTATCATTAAGAAGAATTGGCTTCTTCAGGTAGTAGTGATTCGTCAATCTTGTTTGTCGAACATATGTCATAGTGTTTACATAAATAGACAGACTTATGAATCATGCTAGCACAGGTAATACAGACGAGATATAAATCAAAGACATTCAACTTTTATTACAGTGTTTCCCAACCTTTTTGAATTAACGACATATTGTAAAAATTTTTTAAATTTTTACTACACATTTAGAATGAAAATTTTTATTCAAATGCTTGAAATGCTAAATACATATTTCTTTTATAGCTATTATTGTTTGTTATTAAATTTTGTTTAAAAAGATTTGAAAAATATTTATAATATTGATAAGAGATCAGAATTTTGATAACAAACCTAGATATCGATAAAAATAATAATTTGTAACCAATGATGATTTTTAATTTTTTAATCGACTTGTCATTTAATAGATTGTATTTATGAAAAATTTGAATGTACACGATATGACGAAAAATATAAAATATTCATACTTCATTTCTTTAATCTAAAATTATTCATGAACATTTTATTTTGTATAAATATTCGTGATCATTGCTTATAAATATTAAATATGTTTTGTAAAAATTTTAATAAATTATATTCGATAGATTTATTTATATATATTGATTGAAAAACACTGTTCTAATATGAAGTCATTGTCTATTTAATTTGAACCACAATGAATAATCTCGTAAACAAATACAATAGTTCATAATCTTTTCGAAGTGATAAAATTTTCTTAAAAACATTTTTGATTTTATCACAATTATCACAAATATCACAATTATATTAAAGATCATAAAAAACTAGAAACAAATATATTTATTCTGACTAATAATCAACAATAGATAGTTAGTCGAATAATTACAATTTATTTAATTCCCATTTAATAACTATTTAATGATATGGAAAATTTTGAATAATTTCAAGATACTTTTGTTTTATATTATAATTTTTCTTTTACCACGATTTGTGAAAAATATATTATTAAAAGAAATATTATCAAAGCAAATCTTCGTTTCCGTATAGTTTTATTATTAAAATATAAGACAAAACTTCTATAAACAATTATTATTTAATTCTTTTTATAAATGATCTTTTTATAATGATCCAATATCTTTGTGACATAAAATTTAACATTTCTTTAATTCTTCTTGTATCATTACAACAATACATAGATAAAAAATCAATTGTTATTTATTTTTAGAATTCGTATATTATATTAAGACATATTATGCATTTTTGCCATTAGTTCTTTTTTTATTTAAAATATGAGGTGGAAAGTTAAAAGTTAGATATCAAAATTATATTGATATTCTAATTTTTATAATTGATTGAGAGTAACATAAAATTAATTACAGAAAAGATAAAATTAAAGAAATCATTATATTAAAATAAACGTATCGATTTATTACATCGCGTATTACATATTTAAAAATATAATTTGTTTTCTTAAATTTATTTTTTAAATTTTTGACATTATCTTACAAATTTTTCAATCACTTTTTCTTCTTACTTTTTTTTTTATTTTCTTCTTTTCTAATATAAACTGTATAATCAAATAAACTATTATATTTTAAAAATCTATTAATAGAGAATAAGAATACGATTTTAGTACAAAGCTAATTTGTATCCAATCTAATATTCTATATCTAACAGTCGTTCCAGAATTAATTTTGCATATAAAAAGCGATAAAATCATTGTATATCTATGAATTTATTTCAAAAGTAATACATAAATATCATCATTTTCAAAATATTAATGGAAAATGAATTAATTTTGAAAATTAAAACACATTTGGATATCTTATTAAAAAAGGAAATCTTCATAATAAAATATTATTATACATTTAAAAATCGTATTTTTTATGAGTTTAGATCGTATCGTGAAGAACTATTTTTCGTAATGATTCGTTTTACAAAGTTATCATAATGTATGGAATGATTGAATAAAAAAAAAAAGAAAAAAGAAAAAAAAGAAGTATATAGAAGGTTAATGAGCCAAGTACACGAACCATATTTATGATAATATGTTTTAGATATTTTTTAAATAACGTTGTAAATAAGAATGACAAATCACTATCGTTTGAATAGAGTAATATTTTTTTGTTTAATAATATAATCAATATTAATTCACAATAAAACTATTTATGTTATAGAAATTACAAAAATTTTTTACGTTACAAAAATTAATATACTTAAATTACGTTACAAAAATTCTTATTGTCGTAAGAATGATAATAATATTGAAAATATTATAATAAAAATAATTCATTAATTTATATTGTTGATATATAATTTTCTAGCAGGATTTAAGTATTTGTGTAACGAATCTTTGAAATATATTAAGCTTTGGGCCTATAAATATTATCATGGTAAATTTTATTTTTAGCAGCCAAAGATCTGTAAAAATAAGATAAAAGAGATACTTTGTATTTGCATGAATGTATCTTTATCTATTTATATATGCATCTATATAAATATATCATTAGTCAGATTAAGGAATTGAAGAAATGAAACATATTTAGAAAAAAAAAAAAAAAAAATATTAGAAAAATCATTATCGTTTGGTATTTTAACCATTTACAATTATAACTGAATACTGAATATATTGATAGAAAAAGAAACTCTTTATGTGTTTGAGAAACATATCTAATGATGAAAATGAAAATAGGACTTTAGATTTCAAATTACAATAGCATTAAGTATTCTGTTGATTAAAAAAGTATCATATTAATTTAGAATCAAATATCAATCAAAACAGTTTTATTATTTTTTTATAACAAAAAAAGAAAATGCAAAAGATTTAAAAAATAAATTTTCATTTATCAAAATAATTATTCTTATCTATTCCTGCTTAACAGAGGAAAAAATTATATCGATTTATAAAACTTACGATTTCGAAAAGTGAAAAAGTTTTCTACGACATTCTATTTTTAGTTCTGATGATCGTCTAGCTTTGACAAAAGTTATGTATAACATAATTTGAAAGGAAAAATTCAAAAGAACATGAATTGAACGAGGAATTCTCGTTTATATCGTTTTTATCGAATCTTTATTTTTATGACAACATTTTGGAAATCTTTTCTATATTCATTGTAATTGAAGTATTTGTAATAAGTAAAATTAAAAATTTTAAAATATTAAAAAAAATTTTAAAAATAAAATTTTAAATATAATCCAATTCAATCATTTGTAGCTATTTCTAGAAATATCTAAAAATTTTTATCGTATATTTCTTTCATGAAAGAGAAAATAATACTAAAAAAATATTTTGAATTTACAAACAAGAATTTTTTATTATCTAATAGTAGATATGTTAAGTAAAATAAAATCAAACAGTAAAATATTTCGTATTATATATTGGTAAACAGAAATATCGGATCATATTTCAATTTTATTCTTATTTTTCAAATAACTTATCAAATTGATCTTTTGTCAAATTATTTTTCATCTTTTAATATGATGCGAGTTAAATCACTACTAATATATTTTCCTCTACAAATATTTTTTCCTCTATATATTATGTATTTGTCATGCATAATTTAAACGATGCGGTTTCTTGACCGATTCGAGCTGTTTAATCAATTGTTTCATCATCTTGTGTAATTTTACATGTGTAAAATTATTGTACACGATAAAATCACAAATTCATACATGTTTGTCAATAATTAAGGGAGCATCCATATCGTGTAACACGAAAAAATTCGGTAAGAAAATTATATGGATATCTTAATAATATATTTATATTGGAATAATGAAATTTATTTCTTTAAATATATACATTTTCTAACAAAAATTAAAAAACAGACTAATCGCATGAAAATTTATTTACATTTTTTATCTTCTCAGATAAATAGATTGGAATTAAAAATAACATAATAAAAGCTATAATCAATATCATTTTATCAATAAGTAATAAGTTTTTTTTTCAAATGTGTTTGAATGTGTGAAGAGCAAAAATAAAAAATATAAAAAACTTTGCGAATGATTGATTTATTTTTTAACTTTTATTATTTTAAATAAGTATATAAATACTGTACATGTAAGAAAACATGTTCAAATTATATGAAATGAAAAAAAAAATATGAATTCTTGGAGAAATAAATATAGAATATACAGAATAAACATTTGACAATATTATATAAGTACCATTTTGTTATTTAAAAAACATATATCTTTTCAATATCAATTTCAATTCGATTGAAATAATATGAACGATTTGGCAACCATTTTTATAAAAATAACTACTAAAAATAAAATAATGATATTGAACCAATGTTATGCAAATTTTGTCAAATAAATTTGTAAATATACAAATTCTTGTGATTTTACACTTTCTATATTCTTCTAAATTTATTTGATTTTCTTTTTTTTTCTTCTCAAAATTTGAAAACTATCTCAAGATTTGAAAGCAATGGGCAATGTCCAGAAAATATTGTATAGCAATAGAAGCATTTTAACATTGTTATTAAGATTGAAACAGTGTCTCCGTCGGTGTATAGCTTTACAAAAAAAATTATTTCGAAGAAAATAATGTATATTTTTTACGAAAAGATTTATATTTTATAATACCAGTCTTATTGCTTTTTAGAGACAGCATATATAAAAATTGGATTAGATAAATATGAAATTGTGTGAATGTAAAATGATGTATTTAATAGTTAAAACACATGTAATTCAAAAAAAATCATATCATTTGAATTAGTATATATATAGAAATATTATATAATAGTGTATTAATATAGTAGTAATAATATACTATTATATAGTATTATACTATACATTATATTATACTATATAATAGTTTTCTCTACACTTTTTAATATAAAACTAGTTGTCACTTCTTCATCAAGAATATTGTAAGTTTTTATTCATATTATATATCCACTATGATGGAAATTAAATTTTGGCTCTTCACTTATGTGATAGAAATCCATTACATCAGCTTGGATTGGATAAGATTTAACATTTAGTAAAGATTAACATTTAGTATTAAAATATATTTTCATATAATTGTAATAGTTTTTTTTTTATATATAACTTTTCCATCACGAAAAGAAATTTGTTTTACTTTAATATCTTACTAATAAATTTTTTGCTTCTATATAGGATCGAAGATCATCGTTATCAGCTATTTTCTTTTCAATAGAAACATATTATTCTCAGTGCAATTACAGAGAGATTATCAACAAGTTTGACCTTATTTTATTTGAAAATTATTATTTGAATATTTGAAAATAATAATTTGGAATTATTATCTCAATTAATTTTATATTCAAGTAACTTATTTTATATTCAGATGAAAAAGAATCATTTTTACAAAGAAATTTTTATTCGAATTAATTCATTTAAATTCAATAACAGCAATTTTTATTACAATCTTGTGATTGTGAGAGTATAAAAGAAGTGTATATTTCTAATGCAATTGATAATATTAAAAATTAAAAAATATATGAGAAATTATATCAGATAACGCTTGTTGTGAAATTTCATAAATGAAATAAAAAAATTATTTCATTATAAAATAATTCAAAGAAAAATTGTGCTTGTTTAAATAAATTAACGTTAATAAGAATCTTATGTTGATTTTTAATATTGACTTGTATATCAGAATTCTATATTCTTAAGATATTTTACTTTTGTCTGATAATGATCGTCATAGTCAATTTTTTAAAACAGAATTTCACAAGATTTTCATACATTTACTTATATAAGCAAGTGTATCAAAACAATTGTCTATAACATAATAATTAATTATGAATCAATAACTGCATTTCAATTATATTAGTTTTTGAATGTAAATTAATATTCATATTTAATATGACGACTATATTGTGAAATCTATCTATATCAACGGTTGAATAATTCGAATAGCATTATATTTCTTGAAATTGTCAATAATTTTCAATTATTTATTCTCATGAACTTGTACAATTTCTTTGCTCTATCTCTGTTCCGGAATAGAAAAAAAAGTTAAAAAAAGTTAAAGTTAAATAAAAAATAATAATAAGACCAGTTGTCAGAATCATTGGAAATAAAATCCTTGATAGGCAAATAACTTTTTCGTTAATTTTCTAGATTTCGTAAGCTTCTATGTATATTCAGAGCTATGAACACACTTTGTCGAATGTATGGCCCCCCAACTATTCGCTTATTTCTTTTAACAACAATGAAAGTGGTGAAAGTAATTAACTACTTGCTGAAATCGTGGATGGAATTGTGTAACTATGCATATTTTGTCGAAGTGAATTGTATGAGAACACGATACGATAATATTTGAAAGTTAACTTAACTTTTATATATTAGTACTAATGATACTTGAACTGTAATCATTATTATAAACATTATCTTCAAATGTTATTTTTTATTTTTCAAATAATCTATTTCAAAATATTTATTTATACAAAATTTTTAGCTGCCATATGTTGTATCAAATTGTGGATATGATGACAAGTAATAAGCTTGTCTTTTTTTAATTACATTTAAAAATATGAATTTCATGATAATCAATACATGGAAGTTTGAAATTTTTCTAAATTTATTCTTTGATTTGTGTTCATTATCTATATTTTTTGTTCTCTCATTTCAATAAATGTTTGTATTGTTTATTCTAAGTCCACTTATTCAAGTATCTTTTTGACATAGATTTATCTTTTTGATATAGATTTTATCATTATATTAACTATCAATTTATATTCAAAAATAACATAATTGAAATGTATATCATTTATCTGTAACTTATCAATTTTGTAATAACTTCATTCATATTATTCAATTATTATAATATATTATAATTAATTAATTGTTATAACATAATTTTACTTTGGTATTTGGTATTTTTGTTGTAATCGTTCAGGCAAATTTGAAAATCTCGTGGAATTTTTTTCTTTAAATCAACTATAATGATTAATTGCAATCATATCGTTATTCTTATATATAACAAACATTTATATTTTACATTTTTCAAAAACTTTCACTATTTCAAACATTATATAAAATAATAATTTTATTTATAAAATTCATAATAAAATCAAGAAACAAAAATATGTATCTTTTATTTTGACTTGTAGTTTTTAGTTTTAGTATGTAAATTATTATAAGTGTAACTTAATATTTATTAAAAAAAAAAATTAATAGAAATTCAAAATCTTTAATATATCGTATAAAAAAGGTTAATTTTATAAGTTAAAATTTCTTATATGATTTCTAATTCAAAAATGCAATTTAAGAAAAAAGAAAATATTTTACGCTGTCTAATTCTCAAGATATTTCAAAATATATGTTTTCAACTCTCAATTTTACAGGATAATTTCACATTTTCATCTCAAAATGGAATTTAATCGATAAAAAGAAAAAAATATGTATCAAATATATATTTTTTATGAGTTTAGAAATCAATTACAAATATTAACCATATATAACCATATAATTAGACAAAAATTAATTTATCATAGAAATCTTAGAAGCTTAGCTCTTATTTTTTAATTTAACTTAGAAATCTGAGAAAACTGCTTTTTCTTAAGCTAATTTAGTTTAAAAACACCTTAAAAATCAATGGAGATTCAGCATGTGAAAACAATTTATTTCCAATCTTTCAATATTTAATTTCTAAGAAAAATTATTTCTAAGAAAAATATTTGTAAACATAAATATCTTGAAATTAGATTATAACTTATTATATATTGTAATTGTATCGTAAACAACGGTTTGAGTTTAGTTATCAATAAACGGTTTAAAATCGAATTTCGAATTACAAGATGATATAATCTAAGGTTGAATAAGTTTCCAGTAAATATATAAAAAAAAAAAATAAATAAATAAATAAAAAAAATTCAGTAAATTATATAATAGTTTCAAAAAATAAATATTTATACATATTTAAAATATTTTAAAACATGAATATATAATAAATTGATTTATTTCCGCATATTATTTTTCATTTAAAAATGACATCAATCCAAATAACATGATATATTATTTAAATATATCATTGTTCAAGTATTTTATTTATATATTACTCAAGACAAAGCGTTTTCAATTATCAATAAATATCATACGAAACAAGAAAAATAAGCAAAATAATGATATTACAGCAGATAAGGTAGAAGATGAGAACAGAGATAGAATAAAGATACCTAATATAACCACTTGTATCATTTACTCATTCAATATATCATATAAAGAAAGTGTTAAAATTTATCACTTTTTATATTATATTAGTATTTAATCATGTATAAAAAGATAAATTGCGATGCCATGTAATCAATAATTATAAAAAGAGAAGTACTTCAATAAATGAACTTTATTAAATCTAAAAATTATTGAATCTCTGATAATTTTACATCACATTCTTGAATTTCATAAATGCACGTACACATACTAGAGCTATTTAATTAATAATGTGCTTGAACAGTTTAATCGACTGAAAGATTATTTTTTTATCTTAATGAAAAAGTTTTTTTCTTTTTCAATATACTATTTCTAATATTCTAGTATTTCTAATATGATTTAATCATAATTTCAATATACTATTTACTATAATAAAATTAATATAATAAAAACTATTAAAATTTATAAAAACTATTTAAAAACATTTATAATAATATATAATAAAGACACATATAAAAATAACTTCAAAATAATTAGCATACACCGAATCAGTATCTCTTAAGTAAATCATATTAGATATATCTTTTTTAGCTTTCAATAGTTCTAACTTATATAAAATACAAATAATTTCTCTTTATTTAAATACCAACTAGATGCAAAAATATCAATCATCTTCAACAATTTAATCCCTTGAGTTATATTCACAATGAGATTAAATCAAATTCCAAATTTTAGTAATACAAATTTTCACAAAGCAATACAATTTATTCTTCTTTATCCTCTCTCTCTCTCTCTGCCAAGAACGCAGAAAGTACGCAAATCAACTTTTGCTACGTCATATTAGGTTTCTTTGCCCTCCATATACACAACACCACACACACACACACACACACACACACACGAAAGATCGGCACGAAACAATGTTTCCTTACCTGCAGGCACTAAGAACAACCTTGTGCGCCCTGAGACTAGTCTCGGCGCAGACCAGGGTCACGTCAACGAGTAATTCCGCGTGTAGCAACGCCTCGAAGGCCTGAAGTATATGCGTCTGATGATTGTTCCATCGTAAGGAATAGTGCGACTGCAAAGCCATCCCATCAGGACTGTCTGCGGCGCTCGACATTTTTTCACCGCCGCTCGTGCCGTTAGCGGAGCCACCTTGCTCCGCCTCGTTCTCCTTCGTACCTCGAGGTCCTTCGTCCGTTTCTCTCTTCCATGCACGCACGCACGCGGCCACGCACGTATCGTAAACAATGCCTCCCCCTCGACACTATCTTGAACGCCGCTGTTCTCCTGAAACACGAAAAATCCTTTTGCTCAATTCGGCTCGAGTTCGATCGGCTCGAGTTACGACGGTATGCGGATCTGGATTAGAGATTAAGTAATTTTATGGTAATTATTCACGAAATAGGTACGCCTCCTTGATCTCAATGATCTTGAAATGTGTTGTCGGTGAGTCATGATTCTGACCTTTTTTTTCTTTTTTTTTTTTTTTTTCTCTAGATATGTCTTGATCCCGCAAAAATATACGCGTTTGGATGTTATACACGATAGTAATTTCCATGTTTGTGATATTGTTTATCGTTCGAATTAAATTTTAGGTTAAATATGTATTGTATGGACGAAATATGAGAGAAGGAGAAGGGGTGGCAATAATTTCTCCGATTATGTTCTTTATTTGATAAATAGGATCTAATTGATTTTAACAATTTCGAATTATGTTATGTTATGTTATGAGCAGGAATTTTTTCTGTGATATTTGTAAGAAATAGTTGTCATTGAATTTCGTCTATATACGTTCATAATACGTGCGTCAATATCATATCATCTTATCTATTGTTTATAGAAACACATTGCAAGGCAGGCAACTAAAATACATAACGGGTGAACTGTTAAAAAGTAAGAACTTTTTGATGAATTTTGGAATAATCGAATATTCTACGAAATACGAAATACGAAAATAAAATATAAAACAACGTTTAAGCGAAATTGTAATGATAAATATATCAGTTATTTTATTATCGCATTTCCAAAGAATCCATAGAATATTCAATTTATTTTATATAATATACGATTTTTATCTTCTGAAATTAAGTTAGATTAAAATCTATGTGCATGAATATATCATGAATATATATGAATATATATAGCATGAATATATACAGATATAATATGTATAATATTGAATATATTTTTGTGAATACCATAAAAATTATGGCTGAATAATTTGATTATAGCTACTGAGAAAAATCGTTCAGAATATTGATTTCAACAACATATTTCAAGATTATTGAAATTAGCGAAATGTACTTTTTTGTAAATAATAATTATTTAATTGTTCGGAATTCATGAATCATCAAATACGAAAATTATCTTATTAAATTCACATTAAACATAATTTAAAAAAAGAAATTTACTGAAACAATGAATCTCAATTAATCAGATTTTATATTTAAATTAAGAGAGTTTTCAATGAATCGAATATATTTAGATATTTGATATTTAATTTTTATTAAGTGAATATCCCAATATTAAGTTCGGTTGAGATTAAGAAAATTATTTTAATAAAATGAACAAAAACTAATTTCCGATTTCATTTATTATACAGTTATTTGATAAAAAGATGAATTAAGATAAAAAAATGAATTATAAAGAAGAAATGATAGTTATAAAAAAAGATATAGATGTTAAGATAAAAAAATGAATTATAAAGAAGAAATGACAATTATAGGAAAAGATATAGATGTTTTTGTTTCTTAATTTGTTATGATTTTTATAAAAATATAAATTATTATAATTTATAAATGGATTAAAAAATTCTTATCAATATATCTGCAATAGTACATTATTTTTTCAATCCAATGAATATCGGATACCATATTGTATCTTCTTTTTCATATTAATTATATCACACAAAAATTTTCTCAAAATTTTTAAATATTTATCTATTTTAGATTGCATACAACAAAATCTCGATTATCTGAATTAATAGAAAGACAAGAATAAGGAAATTTTCGAATAATGGAATACAGATTTTTCTTAGATGAATTATTCTATATTTTGAAGAAAATAATACGTTTATGCACAATATAATTGAGATAATAGTATAAAAGATAGTTTGCATTATAAAATTAGAGATCTCATACCATTTTTGTACAATCAAATTGCATAAATTTTTGTAATATTTTTGTAATATGTAAAAGAACGTGCATCCTGCAAATAATTTTCTAATTTCATCCATTTGTTTTTTAACGTTACTCTCACTGCTTTCTAATTTTTTAATTATTTCAGTATTTTCAATTTCGTTTCGTTACTTAACATATTTGTATGCACTATATGAACGTATTCAAATTTTAAATTAAATTTTATTTATATTATTGTGAAGATAGAGAATACAACTATAATTATGATGTACAATTCAAACAATAAATTAATAGAAAATTAATTCAAATAGAGATTCTATTGTAATTAAATGTTGAAAAGAAAATTGTACAAGTTTGCAATAATTTTGTGATACAATGATAAACGAGCATTTCACAGAGATCAGAACACAAGAAACACAAAATGTACCATTGAATCAATATTTATTTCTATAGATTTTTTTTTATAAAAAAATGTAATATTAAAAAAAATTATTTTAATATAAAATATTTAAATAATGCTTTTGTAAAAAATTCAGAAATAAAATAGTTCGAATATTATATTCGAATATTATCATGATTTTATATCTGTTTATACAATGAAAATCACATGTTTCACATTCTTTTACAAAAGAATAATTTTTAATTTTCGTATCGGTTTTCCTTTATTTGATCGTAGAGATTTTTATTTCAAAAATATTAATGATCACTAACTTTTGGTATTTTATCAATTTTGAAAATATCGTTAGTGAATTCAACCGATTTCTCTTTTTCTCAAATAATATTAAAATTACTCTCTTTTAAAAGTAATTTAAAAGTAATGTAAAAGTACAAAAAGTAAGAAAAATGAATTTATCGTGTTTTTTTTTCAATCGATAAAACGTGTAATTGAATAACGAAAAAAATTTGCAATACAAGGGAAAATTGAGAAAAGACATGCGGCGATTGGTTGAAAATTATGAAAAACCAGAGAAGATAGAGCATTCAGGTTAATACTGGAATTGAAACATAGAGATTAATGGTATTTGCGATATTGGCGATATATTAATATCTCATCCGTTTCATTTTCCGTTTTATAATGGATAAAACACTATATTTCTTTGTTTGATGTTACAAATAGTAATCTTATAACTATCCATTAAGTTTATTTTATCTATTAGAATTTTATATTTGAATTTTTTATCTATAGATACACAAAAGTGAAATTTGGAAAAACTTAATAACAAATATATAATGTTCAAATGAGTACATACCTATGCTATTATTGTATTCGTCATTATTAAATTCGTGGAGAAAAACATGGTGAATATTTCATATCATGTTTCTTCTTCCCGTTTATCACAAAAATATAATATTATTAATTATAGTTCTATTTCAAACCATCGTGCTTAAATTTAAATTAATCTCATATTCAATTCAAAATTCAATTCAAAATTCTTTTTCTTCAAATTATTAGTCTGATATGTTACGAAGAATCAAACACGTATCTAAATATAATAATACTTTTAAGAAGAAAAAATGTAATATTTGATTTATTCATAAATTTGGTAAATTTGTAAATCGATTCAATTTTATTTTCAGTAAGATTATAAAAATAAAAAATGAATATATACAATATATATATAAAACGAAGTTCAATCATTCAGATCTAATCAGTTTTATGATACGGCTAGTTCGTTTAATTACTTTTTGCTAGACGTAACAGCATTTAAAACTCTTACACTTAGAATAAATAACTCTGCGTTCATCATAAATTTAAAATTTTTCAATTAATTTATTAAATATCGAATCATATCTTAATTTTATTTTCGAATATTGAAAAGAATTTTCAATTCTGTTCACCAATTAAACAAATATGTGATAAATTATATTTTTAGAATGGTAAGAATAATTTCATGAAAAAAAAAAACTTCAAGATACTTTTGTGTGTGTGTGTGTGTAAAATTATCATTGAAAAGATCATTGAAGATATGAAATTTCTTACAAATTCGAAACGAAAGATATGAATCACAGATACATTAAAAATTACTATGAGATTTTAGAATTTTTCTTTTTTTTTTATACATTTTTATTATTCTTTTATTGTTTTTCTTACATATTCGGTTATCTTATCAATCGAGATAAAAATTACCGATCGTACGAACATTTTTGCAGAAAAATTCGACTGCGCAATTTAATAGGTACAGATACAACAATGTATCACGAATACAAAGTTTATTACATTTTCGATAAAGATTTTCATCGGAGCATAAAAGGAGAACATTAACTATCGACGAATTAAATTCAATTGGGCGGTGATTTAGCTGTAATACATGTAATTTTCTAGAGAAACTCGTGCGTGTATATCATTATTATCCGAAAAAAAAAAAGATTTATCGATATATTGTTATATTGATTTATTATCCGGCCAACGAAAATCACCAATTCGAATATTCAATTTTACATGGGATCATTTCCCATGCAACAAACAATTCATTAAGCTGGATGCTCCAAGTAATATTACACATATTAATTAACTTTCTTCGAATGAATGATCTACGTCAAAATTTGTTCTTTTCACTTTTATGTATAATTTCATTCATTCTCCATCATTCTTTAGAAGGGCACACAAAACAAACAAAATATGTGTGTACTCGTCTTAATGATAATTTACAATAACATAGTTGGCATAGTGATTTTTCGAAAATTATAATTATATCACGTACGTATACAAATGATTAAATTTTTAGTGAAAAATTATATAACAAGTTAAATTAATATCCAATACAATAAATCTTTCTGATATAATATATCAAGAAAAAATACAACTTTTGGTAAAAAATATTTAATCAGTCTTAAAATATATCTTTCGATATCTGTCACTTGTCTCTGCATCGACAGATTTCGATTAAATTTTTCGTATATAACTGATATAAATTTACAATACATATCGTTTGATTTTTCATTATAGTTTTAGATAAGAAAATTGTAGAAATTTTTACTTCTTCATGTTTTCGATCATAATTATAATTTTTTCAAAAATTTTTTTACGCGTCATCTAGTAATCCTTTCCGAAAAAAATCATTTTGTTTAATCATTTGTCCAATTTTAAAATTTAAAAATTATTCCATTTTGAAGAGAATCAAATATTTTTCAATCAGAAGTTGTATTATTTCAACTAATTAATTTTATTTTATACGATATTATGAAATAAGAATCACATATTTCAATTTTATATTACATCAATTACAAAATAATATTAACATATCAGAAATAGAAATATATGATTCACTAAAAAATTCTCAAAATTTTTACATACAAGTAATTCTTTATTTTCAGAATTTATTCAAATTACAATATTATGTATGTAAGACATAAGATGAAAAATTAAAATATACAGAATATTTTAAAAAATAAAAAATTTCATTTCTTATATCGCGTATCTCATTATCAATGTTATTTTAGAAATAATATATGTGCATTTTCTTAAATTTTGTTGATAAATCTCAACCAGTTACGCATTAAATTCTTGTAGAATCGAAGATCGTTGTATAAGAAATAATAAACATTGCATAAAGCCATATTAATCCATCAATAAATTTTTGTCGTTCAAAAAATATTGAGATCAAAGTCCACATAGATAATAAGGAGAGAAATATCGAGCGAATTTTCATGACTTAATTTGTTGATTATGGAAAATAGAAACGAAGAACGTTTGAAAATCGAAATTCGTTCAAGTTTCAACGATCGGCAATCGTTGAAAAAAAATATTTATAAAAGAAAATTGTTTGAATTTCAATTTTCCTGCAGTTACAGGTTTTACGAAATCGCAGTACGTCACTGTGCGCCTATCGAAAACTCATTGCAAGTTTGTTGTCAAACTAGCACGTGTTCAACAAAAAAATGTATATAATATAAATTTAATTTTACTTTTTTTCTTTCTTTTCTTCATTTTTAATACATATCGTTTATAGTAACGTTTATAATAAATATTAGACTTCAACGAGAGGATACACAGTATCAAGACAACTACAAATTTTAACATTCTAAATATTGTTTGGATGATTCTAACCTCATACAATCATCGATATAAGTATATTTTGTATGTAGCACAAATATCATTTAGATATTATATAGATAGTAATAGAATCATATAGATTTGTAAATTCTATGATACATTTATTAATTTGAAATAAAATTTTCATACAATGAGTTTGAAATATAATTTTACAAATACAGCATAATTTAATTTCCTCTATTCATAAATGATTTATGAATTTTTAAATTATTATTATCATTCTAACTGTTCAATGAGTTACGAATATATTTCTAATCGTCATTTTTAAATTTTACTACGTAAAGATCGTGCCAAATAAGTAAAAAATCGTACTTTTGTATATAATTTATAATATTGAGATTTCACTAAACATAATTTTAGATTTGTCAATCGCATTTTCCGAACGCATGCATGTGTTATAATACGATGTTTAAAAGTTTAAATTTCATCACGTGAACATTTTATTACGACATGAAATGAAACGAAATAGATTAGAATAAATAAAATCACGATTAAAAATATCGAAGAAGAGAATCATCGTTATCGTTCACGTATACGCAATGTTACTTTCAACGATCTTTTTCATTACTTTTCTTTAAAAATAAAACTATGAAGCAACAAAAGAAAAAAAAAAAAGAAAAACTAGACTATTAATTTGTTACCTCAAATGCTGATTCCGCTCAGGGCGGACACTCGACTTATCTCTTTTTCACGTTTTTCATGAACATTTCACCTTAAAAGTAATATATCACAATCCATTTTCACACGATGATAATAAGCAAAAAGGTACACACATAGCACTGGATCTTCCGACAATAAATCGAGGATCATTGGAACTTCGTAATTCCATCAATTGACACGATTCCAGCGAGTCTTTCTTCTCCACTTTGTCACCTTTTTCGTACGAAGAAAGTGGAATGATCTCCATTATAGAGAACACCAAGCATGATAGAAGATGTAACTTACACTGGTAATTGATTGATCGAAGAAAACGTACGTATATAACCTTCGAGTGCGTACGATTCATTGGCGGGAAAATCAAATACAGTCGGCGGGCCGCATGGTAGTAGCTACTATGCGCGGTTACATATATATGTACGTCAGAGGAAGAAGAGTCTCCTATGAGGAGTCTAGAAGAGGAAAGGAAAGAGAGAGAGAGAGAGGGAGAGGGAAACAGAAAGCGCGCGCGAGATAGGATAAGAGAGCGTGGCGCCCCTAAACGATCAGCTGATTCCTCACTGTCACCTATCGTCTTCTCAGTAAAAGCACAAACATGTTCGTCGGTATAGACGTTCGCCTTCTTTGCGCGGGACACCCACGTGTACATATATACATATATATACATATATACATACATCACTCGATTAGTCACTGTTGCTCGATACTCTTTCGCGAAATATAATTACTCGGTTCACCATAAATACGATCACTCGATATCGATAGCGATCTCTTAACAGTTGGAAACGAATTTTCCTTTCAGCTGAAGAGGGAAAAAAATCAAGAAACAAGAAAAAAAAATAAACAAAATTAAACGGAAAAATCGAGCGTCACTAAATAAATGTTAAGAGAAAACTGACCGTATCGTGTGGGTTGCGTGTGCGGCACAGCGGCGTCGGCGACGGCCGGTGAGTGAATGCGCCGTGACGTTAGGCGCCCCTCCTAAGATCCCCGCCCCTCTCGCTCCTTAAACTCCTCTCCCTCCCACATGACAACGTCGTCTCTCTTTTCCCGCACGATACACGCCACCGCTCACTTCCTCGCGCACTAACTAACCAACTTCCCTCTCTCTTACCGGCCGCCTCTCCCCCTTTCTTCCGCCAACCCCCTTCTTCCCGGCATGCTTTCTCCTCTTCGTCACTTTACCGCCCCGCGCGCAAACCTACCACCACACCTCTCACCACCCCTGGCGTGTGTCCTGCCGCTCCAACCAACATTCGCGGACCGCCAACTACCCCTTTCCTTCCTTTCTACTTCGGGCAAATCTACTGTTCTACGCGAGACGCGCTCCTTCTTGTTGCCCTAACTCGCGCGTTTCCTCCTCCCCCCCGCCTCTTCTCTCTCTTCCCCCTCCCTCTCTTTCGCCCTTGCCTATCGTTTTGCTTTCGGGTATGTTCCCCTTTCGTTGAAGGTAGCACGAATCTACGCGCTCATCCGATAGAAACCGATAAGAAACGTTCGACATATACACGAGAGATTCCTACCAGGGACGATCGGAACCCGGTATCTCTTCTCCTCTTTTTAACCTCCCCTCTGTCACCTTTTTTGAAAACGTCTGAGAGTATATATATATATATATATATATTTTTTTATAGTTCCTAACAATCGTTGCAGCAGATTCGAATCGTTGATTCAATGATTCAACGAATTCTTTGGAGGATGTAAATATTGCGGTCGGGTCATTTTCGGCCCATTCGATTAAAAAAGCCGGTAATAATGATAATTAGATGATAAAAATTAATTTGAATACATCGATACGAGATATCTTCACTCGTGAATTAATCATTTGTTTAGATTATTCGAAATTCTTAGATTTAAAATATCCAAGGAGAACGGATGCGAGGAGATTATTGGATGAAAGAAGATGGAGGTAAATGATATTGGCTCGAAAAATTTGAAGTTGGAGAAAATTATGATCGTGAATCGGGGACGAATAAATACTAAGCAGGTGTCGTAAAGATTTGGAGGGCGATGAAAAGCGAGCGACGAGGAGTCAAGGCCGCCGACGGAGGTGGCACCAAGGGGGTGAATTCCAAGTTCAGGACCTTTCGAAGGATCCTGGCTCGCAACGGGACACCATAGGGAGGTAAGAACTGTGTAGATAGTTTCCCTCTTCCACCTATACACTTGTGCAGCCTCCCTCATGCCTCCGTGTCCGTGTGCGTTTATATAATGCCGCCAAATGCTCTTACGTCTTGTCGATTTTGTCGACGCGATAAACTGTGAGCTTCCCTTTCCTTCTTCCGTAAATCTTTTTCCTAACTAGATTCGAGCGGATGGGGCGAACGTTATTTAATGTCAATTTGGTTAAAAGTTATTTTTCAGCGTTTGGCTATCCGTGAATATCGGATTTTTCGAGGCAAGTTTTTCTTTTGGAAATATGGAAATATAAGAAACAAAGGAAAGAGAGAAGAGTCTTATGTTTAAAATTCGATGAATAATCACTCGTTTCTAATTGAGATATTGTACGTTTCAAAGAATTCATTTCATTAGTCGAGCAAGAAAATTATAAGTACATCATATAATGTTTGTTGTTTTTAGGATGGATTTAGATCCTATCAATCTCGAAATGTCTGTATAACAAACATTGTCAACAATTAATACGAACGAATATTGTTATTGTTTGTTGTATTTTTTACGTTCTTTCAATGAAAGAGAAAACGTAGAGGATACAACTTTACTCGAATCTGTTCAACATAGTTTCAACAATCAAAAAGTTCTTATGAAAGATTGAAATTGAAATGAAAAATCACGTGGATATATATTAATTATTACGATTCTTCAATATCATTTTTCAATTAAAATTAATTATCTAAAAATTTCTATAATCAAATATAATATATATATATATATATATATATATATATATATATATCGTAAACATTTTCAAGCATGTTCCACCATATTGAAACTTTTGGAAACGGAAATGAAAACCATGCAATATTACCATTTACACTAACAGAATACAAACTTATAAGTTTGTACCAGTTTATATTATCTCAAATTTTGTAAAATCGCGTATCACGAACATTTTAATGCGAATTTCAATTATCACAGAGAAAGCTTTTACAAAGATTTTTCCCAATTTTCCAGAAAAAGCACACAGAATTTTTCCTCTACCTTTTTCTCTCTAGGTAGAAACGAAACACGTTTTCGCAAGATTTTAGAAATCGTCGCATTTCAACAAAAAAAAAAGGCATAAACATGGTCACGTGAGGATCGGTATAAAAATAAGAAAAAGACAAAAAAAAAAGAAAGAAAACAAGAAAAAAATATCCCTTCTTACTTACCCGTAAAAACGAATAACTTGGCAGGTACTTCTGTATCGTATACACGTTCCGTTCACGTAAACAATTGCTTGATCCCAGTTTAAAAATTGCGTCGTTCAATACAAATCACCATCGTTCGTCTTCTTCGTACATGCGATCCAAGATACAAGAACGATTAACATAATGCAACTCATAATGCGACATGTCCACTACTACCATTATCACCATTAATCCCTTCTCCTATTTATGCATTTAAAAAAAAAAAAAAAATACCACCAGTCACTCCTCCTCTCTGCAACTCCCCCCCTGCAGTATGTAAATCACATTGTCCTCTTCGTCGAAAAACGTGAAACTTGACAGATGTTACACGAGGAGCACGTATCACAAGAAACGGTCCACGTCCCGTGGGATGATCCACATTCGTCTCGACACATACAACTACTACGCGTTGACCAAACGGATGGCCGGTGATCGTGATTTATCATTGACTGAGCGGGGGTGGTATTCCTCCTTTTCCTCCCCCCTTTTTCCTTTTCTTTTTTTCTTTTTTCTTCTTCTTCTTCTTCTTCTTCTTCTTCTTCTTCTTCTTCTTCTTCTTCTTCTTCCTCCCTCCCTCCCTTTCTCTCTTCCGCACAGCCGTCCGTGTATCGTGGACGCGCGTGGTCGATGCACGCGTGGAATTCCGCAGGTGGTGGACGCGGCGCGTCGTCGACTGTCGACCTCGGTGCGCCTCGGATGTGTGATTGTGCAAAGGTGGGCAGGTGTGTGCGCGCGTAGATGCACACACAGGTGTGCGGTCGAGTGGCGGCGGGCGGCCTGGCTCTTAGAGCAGTCGCGTTGTGACTGCCTCTTCGGACTTGCCACTGAAAGTGGAGAACGAGGCGAAGAGTCCCACCTCCTTGTGCCACCTCCAACCGGGTGGGTACCAGCCCATCGGACCCTCCTTCTCCTCTCTTGTCCTGTTCAACCTTTTGCTTCTCCACTGCACGCCGTCCTTCCGTCGAATGCGTTTCGCCGATTCCTATATATATATATATACGTGGTACGTAAAGTACTATATATACACGAGAGCAGCAGCACACCTTACCTCTCACGTGCCTATACTCTATCCCGTACGAAAGCCACGCTCCGAATGTTTGCCGATTAGCGCGCACGCTACCACGCTTACTCACCAAATTTCCTTCTACTACCTGGCCGAGGGACGGGCAGGAGGGAGGAGCGGAAGGGGGAAGGGGGGAGGGCAGTAGTTTTGCTACCTAGTGCTCTGGCCTAGAGCGCAGAAATTCGGCGCCCTAAATATTATTGCCTTCGAGGGAGGTGTACACCTGCTTCACGACAATCTCCCATCCTATTCTTATGCACCCGGCTCGCATTCCCTTCGTTCAACTGACCAACATCATCCTTTGCGTGGGGGCAGTATGAAAAGGATTTGTAATCGAGGCTCCATCTCTGTCCTTAGGATTTGCCCCTTCTCTTTGCTCTTCGTTTCGTTCAATTGTCCCTTGGATACGACAGGTTGTTTCGGTGAAGATTCTTCACGGATAGATGATGTGCTTCGAGACAATTCTTCGAGAGAAGAATGTGTGTGCGTGTAGAGTGTTGGCCTCGGTGTTTGTCCTTTGTTTTTCGAACCGTTCGTTGTTCGAGTGTATCGGGCGAGAAATTTGAACATTTCGTTATTACTGGGATTGATTATTCGATTTTTGAAAAATTAAATATTAATAATGTGTCGATGTTGAAGTGAAGAATCTTTCGAGAAATAGACCAATCTTGGATTACACTTTGCTTCTTTAGTTTTGCATTTAAAGTATTTATTGTTTCGTGTTTTCGTGTAATAATTAATTTTTTTTTTAAGATCTGAGAAAATTTGAATATAATTATCGAAATTGAACGTAATAATTACGAAATATAATTGTAAATTATTAATTAAAAATAAAAATAAAATTATAATTTAAATATAAAATGTGTTGTAAATAATATTTTAAAAGCATATTAATATTTCGTTTCGATTAAATTCCATATTTTAGAGTTGTAAAAAGCATGACGTGTGCAGCAATAAAAATATGAAGTTTCCTGAATATTGATATATTATTGTCATTTTGCTAATCCTAGTACAGGTCATAATAATCCAAACAATTATACGAGATTCAGTTAAGAAGAAGAAGATTGTTATAATACCTAGCAGTATTAGGAGTTGACCCTACTCATGTTTTCGTATGCTTATATTGATGAATATAATATATGGCACTTTAAAAATTATTCGTATAGATACTTATATTACAGTTATTTTAAATATATTACATATAAATATAAATATCTTTTCAAATAACATCTTTATAAGTTTAAATATATAAAAATATAAATAATAGGAATCAAAAGAAATTTATATAATTAAACTTAAAAATAATCATATCTTTTTTAATAACAATTGTTGATCTTTATTTTTGAAAAAAATATTTCAATTTAATAAACTTTTCTAACTATGTACTGTTGTTGATAATATATAATTTTGATTCTAAAATTCTCACACAAAATCGCTTTTTTTTAATTCATTAATATTATTGTGTTGCATATGTTATTCTGCTAAATTTTCCACATACGTTTCTTTGATATCAGATCCAGATATCTGTGTTCATCAAGCTAAAAATTTCATATATTTTTATTAATAATAATTTTTTTATAATTTTAATTGTATTATTATGCTAGAAAATTGAAATTATATTTCTTTTATTTGAATTGAAAATTTCTCATATGATATTTCTTTAATTTATAAAAATATTAGTTAAAAACAAATGATTTTTATTTATATATAAGAACTTATAATATAATATAATATATATTATATATATAATATAATATAATATAACATATATAAATAAGTACTTATTAAATATACTTATACTTATTTATATATATAGTTTACAATATATTATATAATAATTAAATCCTTAAATATATCACCAATAATTTTTAAGAATTCATAATAAACATACTTAATAATGAGAAAAAAAACAAATAAACTTCTACTGTTATTAATACAACGTACAATGTTAACATACGATGAAATATATTAAGTGTATTTGGTATTTTAACTAAATAAGTATTATATTTCTCATAATGATTAAATATTAGAAGTAAATATATAAGCAATATGTGAAATGCATTTTCGTTTCACAAATTTAGAAATATTCTAGATATATTTTTAATTTTGTATCGTAAACATAAACTTTCAGCTTTTAATTCTTTACTAAAATTCGATCGAAATTTCTCATATTTTTACGATCAATTATCGTAATTTATTTTTATTATATTTTTATTATGATAATATGAAATAATTTGAATGCAAGTTAAGATCGAATTCGAAAAGTTTCGAATATATACATACCTATTTGTTTCAATATAGAAATCTATTAATATCAAGTTTTACTTAAAATTATTAATTATTTTATTCGTTAGGCACGATATTTTCATTACAAAATCACGTTTCTAAAAATTTAAATAATTCCTTTCATCTTTTTTTCATTAAAAATAACTTTCAATCGAATGTTTCCTAACATTACAATACGTAAAAAATTGTAAAATATTTAATTATTGATTTTTTTTACGATTAAATAATACTTTTATTATTTTCTTGTTGTACTTTATTATTACATTATAAATTTTTATTATTACATTATAAATTTTTTGTTAAGATAAAGAAACCATGATAAAATATATAAGACAATATTTCTTAAGCGATCTCAATCCGACGGTACTTAATAATTCAGTTTCAATGTGAATTATTAAGAAAAGAAAATAATAAATTATGAAATTAGGATAATTAATAATTTTACAATTTATTTAAGAATATATATGTTTGCATCAGTTGTTCGTCTCGCTTTACACGAAGCGTTCAAATCACAAAATTCATGGGAACAATTTTCTATATCTAACGTTATATCTTACCATAGATTATATTTTTTTCACAATTTTGTTTATTAAAAAATTATATATCGTAAACCGAATTTAAAATAATATTTATACATAAAATATATTTATAAAAACAATATACTTAATGTTGTGTTACATAGATCATCGTTCATTTTGAAAAATTCGAAATTTCTTAATTCAATATTTTTTTTTGAGATAAAAGTCCAACAGAGATTAAATATTTATTTATTTTTCTGTAAATTAAAATTAATATGAGATCTGTAAAATATAATACTTCTTACATATCTTATTTTTTCAGTAATTTTTATAAAATTGCAAGTTCGATCAGATATTACTAATTTAACATTAATGATTATTTAAAATATTATAGTTATTTATCTTGTTAAATGTTTATGTTTATATGAAATTATTTCGCAAAGAAATAATGAAGAATATTTCGTTATTTAACAGATATGAAAAGCGGAATAATTTACATATGCTCAACGTGTAATTTCTTACGTATCTATAATTCACTTGAAATTGAAAGATATTGGATTCGGTTTAATATGGAAACCTTTTAACATGAAAGTCGAACGTTCTTGATTTTGATCCAATTTAGACATTAAATAAATTATATAACCGATCAAAACTTTCATGATCAAGAAAATTTAATAATTCTACTAAGAAAATTTATACAACTTGGAGAACATTGGCAAATTTTTTAACATTTTGTTACGCAATACTTATATAAATTACAATGTTTACATATTTTAAATATTTTATTTCCTTATTTAATTAATAAAAATACATAAAATTATTGTTCTTTCTTTATAATAAATGTTAATTAATTATGATTACGAAATAATATTGGCATGTGATACGAAAAACATTAACAGCTAGAGATATATTAATCTTCGATTACATTTAAATATGTTTCTTTATATTAAGTTACGTTTAATATATTTCCTTTTTATTTTTAAATTAATTTATCGATATAGATTAAAAACGCAAGATATGATCTAAGTTTTTATTTATTTATTTACATTTTAGCTAAAAATCTACATACAGTTTGAATCAGTATCATCTAGGATCATCATTATTAATTTAACATCTTTTTTCGAGATAATGAATATCATATCAGAAATCTTTTGTACGTGTTATACATATACAATATATTTT